GGGGCTGACATGACAACAGAAGGGAGGCTAAGAACACCCAACATGGCCAAGTTTATAAAGAGATTAGTGAAAAGTAACAATTCATCCCATGACGCATGGCAGCATTATCTGCCACCTTCTGTTCTATCTGTGCAGACTCTTGAAGAGTCCATTCATGTACCCTCCCCCATAATATGTATCCCCCATCTCATGATATGTGGCAGCATCATCTACCTCCTAGAGTCCCTCGTAGCCAGCGACAGATCCTCAAATATTGACCATCAGCCAAGGTGTCTGTCTGAAGTGGTCTACGGATAGGTGCAGCCAACAATGGAAGGGTTGCGTAGGTTCACAATAGTTATTGTGTGGGCCTCTATTGGGGAGATTTGCCCTCATTTCCTGTCCAGGCAGGTAGCGAGGGGACATTTCCCCCTACGGGGACACCCCAATAAAGGAGTGAGAGGAAATCTCCCCCTACGGGGACACCCCAATAAAGGCTCTAAGCCTTTCCTGCAAAACAGAGTTTTGGCTGATGGGGATGAAGAAGTGTAAAATTGTCTTTGTTACAATGTTTTACTTCTACAAAGAATTGGCAACATTGTAAATGGGAGTGTCCACAATGCTTGAGGTGATGTATGGCCTGAACACCCTCCACAGGGCCTCGTTCACACGGGCGTAAAGACCGGGCGTCTTCCCCATGTTAATAGAGCAAATGGTTTAGTATAGGGGTAGGCAAACTCCGGACCCTCCACCTGAGGTGCAACTACACTTCCCATGAGGAAATGACGGCCACAGGTATGACTCCCAGAGGCAGGCGCATGATGGGATTTGGGGTTTAACCATCATAGCCAGAGTCTGCCTACCCCTGCCAAACACCTCCACTGAAGTCAATGGAAGCTCACCACACGAGGCTTGCTACATGTTTGTGGGGTGCTATGCCAAGGCTCTTTACTTATTTCCCCCTTCCGTGTGAACTTAGCCTACAGGTGTGACACATGCGTGAGGAACGTCCCTGAGCCGATACACAAGATGGACACACGGACAGGGTGAGGCTGTTAATGATACACAAGCCATGTGGTGGGATGCGGCAGCGCCGGAATTACACCGGCGTTCTTACCTCGGATTGGTGTACCACCTGGTGAGAAGAGGAGAGAGAGAGAGAGGGACATTCAGAGATTACAGGGGATGCTGGGCAGACCACTTCACAGACACGGTGCTCAGACTGCGCCTTTCGGCACCCGCGTCAATAAAGAGGTCATTTCCATTGTACGTAGGATCGTAGTCATAAGAAACGGGAATTACATGAACTGATTAAACACGAGGACTGGAGAGCGGAAAGTAAAGCAGGTTTATCTCATAAAACAGAGCGGGCAGCGCTGCCGAGGCCGGGAACAGCGGGTGGAGAATTCTCTCTTACGGTTGCCTGTTACCGTATCTCATCGGTCATCGGAGCAACAATGGCTTCAAAAAATTCAAGATGGAGTTTCCTTGTAATAGAAGAGTTCTTATACGCCTCTCTACAGTGGTCAGTGTGTCCTACCTCCCACCGTACCAGAGCAGCAGTATGAAACAATGGCATGCAATGGCAAGTGTCCAATGCTAGACTGATGGAGGCAGCAGCACTGGAATGGAGACAAGGTAGGCAATACGGGCCCCCAGAGGAGTAGAATACCCCATCTATTACAAAGAACAGAGTGGAGGTAGGTGATATGGGCCCCTGGAGTGGGAGTATAATACCCCTTCTATTACAGGGAACAGAGGGGAGGTAGAAGGCACGGACCCCTGGAGAGGGAGTATGATACCCC